TTGATCCATGTTCAGTTAATTATTTTATATGGAGTCCCACTAATTTTTTTTTTTTGTATGTCATTACACGGATGTTCTAGTATGATCTATTAAAGGTACTCTTCATTCTCCATTAAATGGTCTTGGTACTCTTGTCAAAAATTAATTTGCCATAGATGTTTGAATTTATTTATGGTCTCTCAATTTTCTTCCATTGGTTTATATGTTTGTCTTTATGCTAGCACTATGCTTGTTGATTACTGTAACTTTGTATTAAGTTTTGAATTTGGAAAGTATAAGTTATCTCAGCTTTGCTTTTATGTTTCAGTATTTCTTTTTTGGCTTTTATTGAGGCCCCTTACAGTTCTGTATCAATTTGAAGATTGGCTTCTTATTTCTGCATACAGACCACTTCTGCAAACAAACACACATCTGTAGATTGTTTTGGGGAATATTGCTATCTTAAAGTTTTCCAGTCCATGAATATGGGATGTCTTTCCATTTATTAGATTTTCTTTAATTTCTCTCAGCAATGTTTTCTAGTTTTCAGTGGATAAATCTTTCAATTTCATGGTTAAATATATTCCTAGGTGTTTCATTCTTCTACATGTTGTTGTAAATTGAACTTTTTTTTTTCTTTTTTAAAAACTTCTTTTTAGACTGTTCATTTCTAGTATATGGAAACAACTGATTTTTGGGTGTTGATCTTGTTCCTTATAACTTTGCTGAATTTGTTTAATAGCTGCAGTAGTATTTTTTTCTGTGAGTTATATGAGATTTTCTATATACAGAAAATCATGTCATCTGCAAATAGAAATCGTTTTGCCTCTTCCTTTCAGATTTAGAAATTTTTTATTTTTTATTTTTTTCTGGCCAAATTGCTATGTGTAGGAATTCTAGTAAAAAGCAGAATAGCAGGAGTGAAAATGGGCATCCTCATCTTGTTCCTGATCCTAGAAGAAATGCTTTCAGTTTTTCACCATATAGGATGATATCAGCTGTGATTTCTCTTATAAATGCCCTTGATGATGTTAAGGAAGTTCCCTTCTATTCCCAGTTTGCTGAATGTTTTTATTATAAAAGGATGTTGAGTTTTGTCAAATTGTTTTTAGTATCTATTGAAATGGTCATGTATTATTTTTCCCTTAGTTCTATTAATGCCATGTGTTATACTGATTGACTGTCTTATGCTGAACAATCCTTGTAATCCTGGGACAAATCCTATTTGGTCATAATGTATAAAAGCTTTTATTGTGCTATTGGATTTTGCTTAGTAATACTTTGTTGAAGATTTTTGTATTAATATTCATACGAGATATGTGTCTGTAGCTTTCTTGTGGTATCTTGTCTGAGTTTGGTATGAGAGTAATGCTGGCATCACAGAATGTGTTGGGAGTATTCGCTCTTTTAGTTTTTGTAAAAGTTTGAGTAACAGTGATGTAATTATTCTTTAAATTGTTGGTAGAATTTCACCAGTGCAGCCAACTGGTCCTTGAGTTTTCTTTTTCAGGTTTTCGATTACTGATTGAATCTCTGTATCTGTTACATACAGGTCTGTTGACATTGTCTATTTCCTCTTAGGTCAGTTTTGTATTGTGTGTGTTTCTTGGAAACACATTTTTTTTTTTTGAGACGGAGTCTTGCTCTGTTGCCTAGGCTGGAGTGTGATGGTGCGATCTGGGCTCACTGCAACCTCCACCTCCTGGGTTCCAGTGATTCTCCTCCTCAGCCTCCCAAGTAGCTGTGATTATAGGCATGTACTACCACGCCCAGCTAATTTTTGTATTTTTAGTAGAGATGGGGTTTTGTCATGTTGGCGAGGCTGGTGTCGAACTCCTGACCTCAGATGATCCACCTGCCTCAGCCTCCCAAAGCGCTGGGATTATAGGCATGAGCCACTGCGCCTGGCATTTTTTTTTTTTTTTTTTTGAGACAGGGTCTTGCTCTACCACACACGCTGGAGTGTAGTGGGACAATCATGGCTCACTGCAGCCTTGAACTCCTGGGCTTAAGCCTCCTGAGTAGCTAGGACTACAGGTGCATGCCACCACACTTGGCTAATTTAAACATTTTTTTGTAGAGACAAGGACTCACTGTGTTGCCTAGGCTGATCTCAAACTTCTGACCTCAAGCAATCTTCATGCCTTGGCCTCCCAAAGTGTTGGGATTACAGGTGTGAGCCACTGTGCCTGGCCTAGACTGTCTAATTTGTTGATATGCAGTTGTTCTTACTATTATCTTATAATCCTTTAAATTTCTATAAGGTCAGTAGCAAAGTCCCATTGTTCATTTCTGATTTTAATTATTTGCCTTTTCTCTTTTTTTTAAACTCAGTCTAGCTAATAGAGTGTCAATTTTGTGGATCTTTTCAAAGAACCAACTTTTGATTCCTGTGATTCTCTATTTTTCTCTATTTCATTTATCTCTGCTGAAATCTTTATTATTTTCATCCTCCTGCTGGCTTAGTGTTTAGTTTGAATAGTTTTTTCTTTTTTTAAACACTGCATTTACAGCCATAAAAGTCCATCTCAGTACTGCTTTTGCTTCATCCAATATATTTTGGTATGTTGTGGTTTTGCTTGTTTTTAGTTATCTCAAAATATTTTTTAGTTTTGCGGATATATGTCTTATATTCCATAAGTGAACTATTCATGCAAAGTAGTGGCTGGAGTACCTCAATATTCAGAGAGCATATATAACAAATGAATAGTTTTGTATCTGCTTGCTAATGAATGTTTATTTCATTAATTTCTTCATTTGCACAGAATTTGGTTAGGGATTTTCTTTTATGTTTACTGGTAGTAAGGAAATTAGTTGCCAATGCTTGATAACTACATTCTTTGACAGCTACAGTTATTGCCAAAAGAACCTAAGAGTTATATACAATTAACTTGATTTAGGTTAGTCTTCACCACTCCCAAATGTATAATTCCAGCATAGAATGCCAATCTCTGAACTCTAGGCTCTCATATCAAAGTAAGTGCTAAACATCAATATTTTCATGTCTAATACACATGACCAACTTAATATAGTCAAAGCATAATCCCCAGGGCTCACACCTGTAATCCCAGCACTTTGGGAGGCTGAGGTGGGTGGATCACCTGAGGTCAGTAGTTCAAGACCAGCCTGGCCAACAGGGCGAAACTCTGTCTTTACTAAAAAATACAAAAAAATTAGCCAGGCACGTGCCTGTAGTCCCTGCTACTCAGGAGGCTGTGGCAGAAGAATTGCTTGAATCTGGGAGGCAGAGGCTGCAGTGAGCCACGATCGGGCCATTGCACTCTAGCCTGGCCAACAGAGTGAGACTCCATCTCAAACAAAACAAAACAAAACAAAACAACAAAAAACCCCCATAATCCCTGATTTTATTATCCCTCCCTTCCCTGCTCCATCTCAATTACGGCCAATCCTTCTTTCCACTTGGTCATGCCAGTAACCCTATAGTTATAGTTACAAGCCTCTCTTTTTCTTGTAACCTATATTCAATTTGAATATATATCCACAATTTAGAATATATACACACTCTAGACACTCATTTCTATTTCCACTGCTACCACCTTGGTCCCAAACCGCCACCAACTTTTTTATTATTCTTATTATGTACCCCAAATAGGTATGTTCCTGAACTGAAGTATTTTAATAGCTTCTAGTTGGTTTCCTTGCTTTAATGGGTGTTCCTCTTACAGTCTGCAGCTTCACTCAGAATACAGTCTTGTCCTATATCCTACTGAGTGTACACTCTACAACTCCCATTTAACTGTGGCTTCATTTTCTATTCTGTAACCTCCCTCTTTCATTCTACTGCAACTTACTGGCCTCTTCACTGTTCCCTGGAAATTCCAGGAGTGCTTATATCATAGGGCCTTTGCACTGGCTTTCTTCTTTGCCTGGAATATTCTTCCAAAGATAACTACATGTCTCACTCCCTTACCTCCTTCAAACCCTTGTTCAAATGACATGTTGTCAGAGAGGCTTGCTCTGATAATCCTACATACAATTGATGACCCTCTTGCCCAGCAATCTCAATCCCTTTTACTCTGTTTTCCCTTTTCCTCCCACCCTACAGTACTCATCACTGCCTCACAGCAGACAGTATTACATGACTGACTTATTATGCCTATTGTCTGTCTTCCCCCACTAGAGTGCAATCTCTGAGGGCTGATATTTGGGTCTGTTTTATTCACTTCTATATTCTATATCCTGGCATGTATTAGCCACTCAATATATTTTTGTTAAATTAATGAAGAATTGAAAGAAATTTTAACCCTCCAACTGTGTCAGACGTGACACTTATAACATATTCCAGTTGAAATATGGCATTAGACAACAAAAAATACTATTATTGATTTATACTACATAAATGTTAGCACATCACAATTGTCTACCCAAAGGTAAAGTATCAGTGATAAGTTGTGAATATTCTATAATAAATACATAAAAGGCATTTGTGATATCAGACACTCCAACCACCAGATTCAAATGGCTGTGTGCTTTTGTCTAGGCTTGCATTATAGTCTGATTTACCAATATAGTTCAAGTACATGTTATCTATATAATTAAAAAAAATAACAGTTTTCAAGGTTGCTTTGTTCTTATTCTCCATGAGAATACTATAGTAACATGCAACTTTGACTGATTAATGTCATTCTAAAGCAGGTTATGTTGTAATTTAAGATCCTGAATTAACAAGACAGTATAGGAGATAAATTAAATTGTAATAATTCCCATGCATTCTATTTTTAGGAAAGATATTATAGCCAACTTTGTATCTACAAATACTAGATAGGAAGTGTATCATAACTCTAGCTCTGACATCTATTTGTCAAAAATAGAACTTAAATAATATATATATGCTGATATAACAGGTAGGAGGAGTACAAGGGAAAAACTCACTAGCTGAAGAAAAAAGTCACTGAAAACTTACCTTTCTTGGTATGTGAACATGAGTATGTGTATATGTGTTTCTGAGTCAACAGAACACTGAAATCTGTTTCTCTGAAAGGTTTTTTTTTTTTTTCCAGATGGAATCTTGCTTTGTCTCACCCAGGCTGGAATGCAGTGGCACGATCTCAGCTCACTGCAGCCTCCACCTCCCAGGTTCAAATGATTCTCCTGCCTCAGCCTCCTGAGTAGCTGGGATTACAGGTATGCACCACTATGACTGGCTAATTTCGTATTTTGAGTAGAGACGGGGTTTACCATGTTGGCCAAGCTGGTCTCAAACGCCAAACTTCAGGTAATCCACCTGCCTCAGTCTCCCAAAGTGCTGGGATTACAGGCGTGAGCCACTGCACCCAGCCTCAGTGAAAGGTTTTAAACTGCAAGGAATTGTCATCTAATGGTAATACCTGCAACTCTTCTTGCACTGCCCTGAATTGAGGAAAAATGATATCTCAATGAAAATAAGATAGAAGGACACATTCAAATAATCAATGTTTTATGTAACTTGAAGAGAAAATTGTTCCAAGAAGTATTTGTTAATCTTAAATTGATGATTAACAATATCTGAAACAATCTGCTATCATGTTTGATAATCATGGCATCTGAAACAATACTATATTGACATTAATTAAAATGGAGACAAAGAACACCAAAGAGCATAACGTATAAAAATCAGAATATTTTCTCTAAGAAATAATAAAAGATTTGACAGGTTTTGAATGCTTATAATGTGCCAAAAACTGTGGCAAGTCATTCTTGTGTATTATTTCAACTATTCCTAACAATAATTGTATGAGGCTAGATACTATTATTACCTCTATCATAAGGAAATTTAAGAAAATAAAAAACTTAAATTTTAATTTTAATTAATCATATAAAACATTTAATGATTTAATTAATTAAATTATTTAAATTTTAATTACAAAAAATTTAAGAAAAGTGAAGCTATGACCTTGAAGTAAAAATATATTTACAGATAGCTTTAATATTAATACATTTCATTATATAGAGCTGGGATTTAATTTTAGCAGCCTAATTCCAAATCACATGCCCTTTAGCCTTTATCATCATCATCCAAGACACTGTCTTCAGAAGAAAAGGTGTGGTATTTGTCTTATATAGAAAAGAACTTCTAATGACATGGAGCAACCTCTCCAATGCCAGTTGCTGCGTTACTCCTTGCCTCTCTATCCTATTTGTGGGGTCCAATGTTCTGGGAATCAGTAACATTGTATACCCAGTCAAAGGTTCCAGCTACCATGGCATGTTTGTAGCAGTTTTTTTGGGACGTGGTCTTGCTGTGTGGCTCAGGTAGGAGTGCACTGGTTAGTTACAGATGTGACTGTAGAGCACTGAAGCCTCAAACTCAAGGGATTCTTCTGTCTCAGCCTCCTAAGTAGCTGGGAGTATAGGTGTGTGCCATCGTGCCTGGCTGATGTTTACAAGTCCAGGCTGTGCTTCACCGGTGTGGCGTCTGAGCTCACTGAGCACACCTTGGGCTTTGGGAGGTTCCGACTGACCTAAAGCTTGGGTTGTTTATGCAGTTCTCTGGGGAATGAGCCTGGTTGTTGATCTTTAATGAAGGATGCTACTTTGCTGAGGAAGAGTTTAATCTAGTTATATCCCTGCAGGTAAAATTATGAAAAAGACACTGTGGCTATGGACTAGCCTGTGACCTACTCTACTAAGCTCAAGTTCTCTGGCTCATTCTAGATAGTTAAAAGGGTTACACTTGGCAGAGTGAAAATTACCATGGTTTTGTTCCACCTGGTGTGACTGTAATATATTTTTGAATAAGAAAATATGAGTAAGAGTATCAGACAGAAGACAACAGTTTTTTTTTTGTGAGGAAGATACGTAATTTTGAGAATGGCAAGCTGGATGATAATAGGAATGATAGAAGTTAAGTGAAGACTTTGAAAGAAAAATATATTCACAGATAGCTTTAATATTAAATATATTTCATTACATAGGGACTCTAACCTACAAATGATTTGACCAGTGACACTTCCTCTTACTAATTGGCCATGTACATTTTAATGGTCTGTTTCTAATTTTCTAGCTGCCTAAGATAATCATATTTTGTTATACTGGCATAGCTGTCTTGAGTCTTTCAACTAAAAGTGACAGATATTCCCTAATCAATGTGCTCTTTCCCCATTAGGTGACTGATATGTGATTCTTCTTCCTTGTAGCAGGATGGGATGGAAAAAGACTATGTTCCAAGTATTGATATGTTTGTTTTCTCATACAGAAATTATCAGAGTAATCAGTATTGGTTGAAGCCTTTTTTGATAAGTGATAAAATTAATAATTAATAAATACACTATCACTTGCTTTCCTTTGCTGCTAGTCTACTTTAATTGCATTGCTAATAGGGTTTCTCATACAACTTTTTTTTTTTTAAACAGAGATGGGGATCTTACTCTGTCACCCAGGCTGGAGTACAGTGTACAGTGGTATGATCATAGCTTATTGCAGCCTTGAACTCCGGGGCTCAAATGATCCTCTTGCCTCATCCTCCAGAGTAGCTGGGAATATAGGCACATGACATCTTATCTGGCTATTTTTATTTTTAAAAATTTTTAAGGGAAGGGGTCTCACTATCTTGCCCAAGCTGGTTTCAAGCTCTGGGGCACAAGTGATCCTCCTGCCTCAGCCTTCTGAGTAGCTGGGATTATAGGTGTGAGCCACATCACCAGTCTGATGTATCTATTAAAATCTTCCCAGCTATACAATTATCATAGTCCCTTGTTTCCAAATGCCAACTTGGGGTAATAATTTGTTTTATTTAATATGATGAGGCTCATTATAAATGTCTATCAAATCAGATGGTCTAGCCAGGAAAATGTCTAGCAATTACATTGGTGTTTATGGTCACTCTGATAATGCAATTATTTCCTTGATATGTTTAAATATGTACAAAAAAGATGTTCCATGTATCAAACAACTGACATGTAAACTTTTAGAAAAGTATATGTTAGATGTTGCATATACACATGGTAATTCTATAGACATTAATTAAAAAATATAAGGTGATTTTAATGACTTCTTATTTAAATATTTGTTTTGATCTGAGCACCCAATGCCCTGAACATTCTGGATAACAGAAGATAATAGCTGTACTAGAATAATTTCCAGTAATATCCCAGGGACCACCTTTTAAATACAGATTATCAACTAAGCTAGAATATTGGACAAAGAAAGGAAGTGATGAAATGTATTACAGCAGTGATGATTTTTAACATTTAAATTAACTGCTGAAGTATTTAACTATTTAGATAACTAATTTCTATATATAGAGTACAGTAATTGCTAAGAGGCTATTATTGTTAACAGGATAAACTTAATTGTGCAATACCAGATTATAATTTGACCCTAGAATTCAGAAATAAAAACAAAAAAGGACAAAATAGATTTTGAATATAAAAAAAGCCAAAAGATATAACTGAGAGGAATAAAAATACTAACATTTAATTTTAAAATTTGGAGATGTTTTCGGCTATAGTCACTTGACATTTAAGATACTTGTTAAATCATACAGCTTATCCTCTTATTTTTGTTTTAAAATTTGTTGATTTTAATTAAATGGATGGTTACCCACACGGAAAAAAAGAACAAAGCAGCTGGTCTCTGCCTGATGGTAAAATCTTCTCCTGGCCTATAGAGCTAAGGCACACCATTTTACTTGGACTTTGGGAAAATCTAGTTTTCAGTGTGAGTGGATTTTGTGATAAAATTACAAATGCAAGACCTATGTTACTTTAGTGTCACTATATAAATGCTCCTGGTTTTTAAACAGTCCTAATTAATGCTCAGTGTAAGGACAAGAAATAAGCTGTCTTCACCGAAAGCCATAAACCATGAGAGAAATGGTTAATACTTTTTAAAAATATGTGGTGGTACAGGTGCTGTAGAATGTGGCTCCAGAAAGAAAGATCTTAAATTATCTTCAGTGAACAGTATATGGGGAATTTGTGAGGCTCCATGCTCAAATCCTGAGTTCTTAGATTTTGGAAGTTAGGATCATCACTGTTTATGGAAAACTTCTTAAAACAATGGTTGTCCTCTTTTCCTGAAAGTTGAGTTATGATTGTGAATAAAGGAATCCACTGTCTGACTGTTACTCCTTTGGCGTATTTTGAATTACATCTGAACTCAGTTTATAGATAGCTGACAGGATGAAGTGATGAAACATGTGGTAGACAGAAAGGAGTTTCATTAAAAGAGCTGCTTAGGTGCTTCCAGTCTAGGTAATTACTCATTTTTATGCTCTATTCCTGGGGAATACAGTATAGTGGCTGGCACACAGTAGGCACTTAGTAGATGTCTGCTGTACTAAACTGAAGGTTTAGGAGTAAATAACAAATTTGTGCAGTTGTGTAACTTTAGCTTTCCTTGAGGTCTTATAATATGCCATGTCAATGATTACTGTGGAAGACATCCATTTGGGCTTTGAATAATAACATGATATCAGCTTAGGTAATGGGGCTTGAACAAATGTGCAGGGAACACAGGAGACTTGTAAATATGGTATTATGAAAAACACATGGGATTTGAAGGCCAAAGGTATGTAGTTAACACTGCTTTGATCTCTAGTAAACCCTTGACCCCCCTGAGCCTTAGTTTGTGTATTCATTCATCTAAACATTTAGTGAATATACACTGTATGCCTTTTACACAGATGAAAGAGAGACAAACCTTGACCTGGAGATGCTTAAGGATACCAAAATGAAACTGTAATGGAATGTTTCCTCATATGTAGAATCAGAGTAACAACACCAAACAATATCATCTACTGCACAGATTCGGTGAGGCAATTACCACATACTAGTACTTAACTTCCAATGTATTATAAAAGTGCTTTGTAACTACAAAGCAGTACAGTGGTGCTATCTCAGCTAACTGCAACCTCTGCCTCCTTCAAGTGATGCTCCTGCCTCAGCCTCCCAAGCTGGGATTACAAGTGTGTGCCACCACACTTGCCTAATTTTTATATTTTTAGCAGAGACAGAGTTTTGCCATGTTGGCCAAGCTGGTCTCAAACTCCCAACCTCAGTGATCCACCTGCCTTGGCCTCCTAAAGTACTGGGATTACAGACGTAAACCACCACATCGGCCCCATAAGCAGTTTTTAATGAGAGTTCTTCTAATTTCTTTTTTGGAATAAATGAAGATGCTTGGAACCCTGGTTCAAGTTCTGTCAACCTACTTCCCAGTTATAAATTTAGAATGTGAGTAGTTTTTATGTCTCTTCTTTTGTGTTAAATTGGTATATAATTCACATATCACAAAACTCAGAGTTTAAAGTGTACAATTCAGTGGTTTTTAGTACATTGACAAAGTTGTGCAACTGACACCAATTCCAGAATATTTTCATCACCACAAAAACAAACCCCACATCCAAGAGCAGTTACTTTCCATTTCTTCCTCCCTCCAGTCCCTGGTAATCACTACTGTCCTTTCTACCTCTATGAAGTTGCCTATTCTGGACCTTTCATATCAACGGAGTTGGACAATATGTGGCCTTTTGTGTCTAGCTATATTCACTTAGAATAGTTTTGCATGGTTCATCACATTGTTGCACATTTCATGTTTCTGTGACTGAATATATTCCATTGTATCATCAGTTGGTGGACATTTGGTCTGTTTCCACTTTTTGGGCTACTATGAATAATGCTGCTATGAACATTCGCATACAAGTTTTTATGTCAACATGTTTTCTGTTCTCTTGGGAATATACCTAGGAGTGGAATTTATGAGTCATATCCTAACTTTGTGTTTAATTTTTTGAAGAACTGAGTAGTTTTTGTTAACTGCTTTTCTATCTTTAATTCACAAAAGCCTCTAATGAAGGAATAGTAAAAAGCCATTGCAAATGCATGTGAAAAATAATGCAAAGGGAAACAATAAAAGAAATCCACACAGCTCCCATAAAAACAAACTGCATTAGGTGTTATTGCTTGTAGAGTTCAATTTAATGGTAAATGTTCCTTTTGAGTTGTATTAGGGTGGTAAACTTTTCTGAAGTTATGTGCAATTATGTTTCAGCTGTCATCCTCTGGATTAATGATAATAATAATAACAACAACAACAACATCCTTGGGCTCCAAAGTGAACAATGTTGTATAAACGAGCTAAATGGGAAAGCTTGACTTACAACTTAGTGCACTTAATTTTCCAGGTTGGAGATCTTACCTCTCTGAGAGGGAAACCAGTGGTCATTTCACTTATAAAGGGCCTTTTTTTCAGTAGGAAAAAAGAAGAGACAAGGGAGCAAAACTGCTTAGTTCTGGGACATGGATCAAAGATGCTTAACTACTTTAAAACCAAAGGTGAGAAGAGATGTTTTTAGTCCCAAATTGCAAGATAGGTTATTTTTGCTGAAACATGATTTTAAGAGAAAAGTTCATTAGATTAGCTAGGTATTATTAAATACATGTTACTCAACTTGGAGAGGTATGGAGGCACTTACTAGCTATCAATAGGCATAAAACACAAAAATACTTTCTAATTATTTTCTTTAGCAGTCAGTTCTTTCATGTGTACCTTCTTCCTAGAGGACATGATTAAAGTTGTGTCAGTATGCATACACTTTTAAAGTCTTCAGTTTCACCTTCTGCTTCTCTACATTTCTATCTCTTTCCTATCCATTCATGCCTGAACTGCCCAAACATATGTTTTTATCAGTGTCAACACTTCCATCTTTGTAAATTCATTCATATTTGGCTCATGAGGCTAAGCAGAATACTACCTTCTTTCTTGCAATTATTGTATAACAAATGAACCTAAAATTTACTGGCTTACAACTAGAATCATTTTATTTCTCACGATTCAGTGTTGACTGGGCAGTTTCTGCTGTTTTGACTAGGTTATTCATGTGGCTGCACAAAGCTGGTTGGTTACCTGGTGTTGGGTTTGGTGGGATGACTGCACTGGCCTGCCTCTTTATGGTCTTTCATCCTGATGGAGACTAGCCTGGCTTTTTTTTCACATGCCATTTCAGGGCCACACTCCTAGAGGGCAAGTCCTACAGTGTAAGGGCTGTCAGGATTCTACTTGGGTCATGTTCGCTGATGTCTTCTTGGCCAAACTCATTGTGGGTTGAGGCTAAATGAATACTGAGGAGGCATGAATTATTGGGGTCCATTAGTGTAGCATTTCATGCCTGAATGTTCATTAAGGTAAAACTGTATTTTTCTTTTTTTCTCTTGCTTTTTCAGTTTGGGGCATTTCAATCCGCATATCTTCAACATCACTAATTCTTTCCTTTGCTATGTCTAAGCTCATCAAGGGCATTCTTCATTCTTATTACAGCAAGCCACTTGTCCAACCGAATGCCCACAGGCCACAGGTGGCCGAGGGTAGGGTGGCTTTGAATGTGGCCCAACACAAATTCATAAACTTTATTAAAACATCATGAGTTTTTTTTAAGTAAAAAAAATTTTTTTAGTTCATTAGCTATCATTATTTTATGTGTGTCCCAAGACAATTCTTCTTCTTCCAATTTGGTTCAGGGAAGCCAAAAGATTTTTTTTGATTTCTAGTATTTTTTCCATTAGCGCTCTTAGCATATGAATCACTTATTTAATTAAACAATTAATTAATTTAGAGTTGGAATCTCACTCTGTCACCCGGGCTGGAGTGCCTTGGCACTATCTTAGCTCACTGCAACCTCCAACTCCTGGATTCAAGCAATTCTCCTGCCTCAGCCTCCCAAGTAGCTGGGATTATAGGCATATGCCACTATATCCAGCTAATTTTTTTGTTTTTAGTAGAAACAGGGTTTTATCATGTTGGCCAGGATGGTCTCAAACTTCTGACCTCCGGTGATCTGTCCACCCTGCCTTCCCAAAATGCTGGGATTACAGGCACGAGCCACCAAACCTGACCTTTATTTATTTATTTAAGACAGGGTCTTGGTCTGTTGCCCAGGCTGGAGTGCACTGGTGCAATCTTGACTCACTACAGCCTTGTCGTCCTGGACTTAAGGTCCACCTCAGACTCCTGTGCAGCTGAGACTACAGGCAAGTACCATCATGCCTGGCTAATTTTTGTATTTCTGTAGAGATGGGGATGCCTCATGTTGCCCAGCCCAGTCTTGAACCCCTGGACTCAAGCAATCCACCTTCCTTGGCCTCGCAAAGTGCTGGATTACAGGTGTGACCCACCACACTTAGCCCACAGTTATTTTAAATTCCCTGTCTCTATAATTTGACAGTCTTTGCCATAACTGAGTCTGGTTCTTCTACTTGCTTTATCCATTAAGAGTGTGTGGGTTTTGTTTGTTTTGCCTTTTAGTGTGTCCTGTAACTTGTTGTTGAAAGCTGTACATGATGTAATGTATAAAAGGAACAAGGAAAGTAGGCATTTAGTGTGAGGTTTTTTGTTTATCTAGCTATGAGTCAGGCTGCATCTACTGGTAGCTGCAGCTGTAGATGTCAGATGTGAAAACATCTGCTAATGCTTATTTGTGTTTCCTCTAGTATTTGGGTTTCCCTAGAGATTCCTTTTGAAATAGGGCCTGAGCTTTGCTCAACTATAATCCCTATTATTATATAGTAGACTGATTAATGTGGTGGCAAGGTGGCAAGGGAGAGTAAGTGTTCTGTGGTCCTGTAACTGTTAAGTCTTTTGCCCCTAACCCCCTTCCAGCCACCTTAGGTGAAATAGGCTAGAGGGGGCTGGAGTTGGGTATTTCACTTCTTTCATGATTGACTCTGGCAAAACCTAGCTTGGTTAGATGTTGGTGAAACAGTTTCCCTTGAAGACAGGCCTTTGTTAAGGTGAGCAGTAGCTCTGGAAGACTGTTTGTTTTTTTACTTTTTTTTTAAATTTGTTTTTATTTAGAGACCAGGGGAGAGCGCAAACACATTCCCTCACTACCACAAATTATGCAGTTGAGTCTCCACCATTTGGGGAAATCGCAGGGGTCAGCACATCCGGGGTGCAATGGGTAAGCCTCGCCCTGGGAAAACCACCTTCGTGATCATGGTATCTCCCCTGCCAGGTAAGTATGTGTTTGTTTTTTAAAAAAGTTTACTCTCTTCCCTCTACACACACAGAAACACAAGGGCATTTTTCCCTCAGCTCTTGACCCTGAGAACTTGATAGGGTTCTTAGAGGTAAAACTCAGAAAGTGTGTGATACTCTAAGGATGGGCCTCCAGGAGTTTTTAACGTTTTAAACTAGCCTGAATCTTAGTCTCTAGCAATTAGTCAATCATCCTTGAAATGTTCCTACCAGCTGTGGCATCTACTCTCAGTAATCTGTGATTCTCTGTGTTTGCCTGTTCCAATTTTGGGGGCAGTGGTCTGTCCCGTGTCTTCATTCTTTGACGGATCTAAGAGGAGTTGTTGATTTTCAGTCTGTTCTCTTTTTTTTGGTGAGGATGAGAGTACAATTTCCAACCTCTTTACATGTTGGATGGGAAACCATAGGATCTAAAAATATTTTTAAAAATTTTATTTTAATTTTATTAAAAATTTTTTTCAGCTCTGGGCCTGCAGAGAAGTTGAAAGATTTTTCACTCATCATTCATTCTTTCATTTTTTCTTATCTATCCTTTACATTTAAGTATATTTTCAAAAATGGGCAACTAGGCCTATTTTATTAAAAAATTTTCTTATTTTTCAACAAAACCCACATTCAAAAGGCCTATTTTAGATTTTTTTTTTGACATCTTTAAAGTGTAAAATATAGCACTTTGGGAGGCCAAAGCTATATTCTGAGCCCAAGAGTTCAAGACCAGCCTGGGCAATGTGATGAAACCTCACCTCTACAAAAAATTAAAAATAAGGCAGTGTGTTGGTGCATACCTGTAGTCCCAGCAAACCTCTAGAAAAAATAAAAAATAAGTCTGTGTGTTGCTTTACAGCTATAGTCCCAGCTACTAGGGAGACTGTTGGGGGGATCTCTTGGAGCCCAAGAGATTGAGGCTACAGTGAGTTATAATCACGCCACTGCACTTAGCCTGGGTGACAGAGTGAGATTTTGTCTCAAATAAATAAATACAAATAGAGTAAAATCTTGAAATAAAGGAGGATTAAATTTTCTCAATTACCACTTTTGGTGAATATGCATAATTAAGTCAAATGTATTACTATAATGGTTAGTAAACTGTTCACTAAATTGTAATTAAAAATAATAAATGGGCCAGGTGCAGTGGCTTATGCCTTTAATCCCAGCACTTTGGGAGGCCAAGGCGGATGGATCACAAGGTCAGGAGATCGACA